GCTTTGGGTTTTGGGTGTTATGTCGACTGGTTTGGGACATCGAGGCTTGACCCCTTTGGTGCTGCATTGCTCTGGGGGTTTGGGCGTTGTGAATGCTGGTTTGGGACATCGAGGCTTGACCCGCTTTGCTGCATTGCTGGGTTTTGGGTATTGTTTGGGACATCGAGGCTTGGGTGCTGCATTGGGGTTTTGGGTTGTGAATGCTGGTTTGGGACATCGAGGCTTGACTTTGGTGCTGCATTGCTTTGGGTTTGGGTGTTATGTCGACTGGTTTGGGACATCGAGGCTTGACCCCTTTGGTGCTGCATTGCTCTGGGGGTTTGGGCGTTGTGAAGCTGGTTTGGGACATCGAGGCTTGACCCCTTTGGTGCTGCATTGCTTTGGGTTTTGGGTGTTATGTCGACTGGTTTGGGACATCGAGGCTTGACCCCTTTGGTGCTGCATTGCTCTGGGGGTTTGGGCGTTGTGAAGAGTGGTTTGGGACATCGAGGCTTGACCCCTTTGGTGCTGCATTGCTTTGGGTTTGGGCGTTGTGAAGAGTGGTTTGGGACAAAGCTTGACCCCTTTGGTGCTGCATTGCTCTGGGGGTTTGGGCGTTGTGAAGAGTGGTTTGGGACATCGAGGCTTGACCCCTTTGGTGCTGCATTGCTTTGGGTTTGGGGTGTTATGTCTGGTTTGGGACATCGAGGCTTGACCCCTTTGGTGCTGCATTGCTTTGGGTTTGGGGTGTTATGTCTGGTTTGGGACATCGAGGCTTGACCCCTTTGGTGCTGCATTGCTCTTTTTTTTTTGGGACATCGTTGACTTTGGTGCTGCATTGATGGTTTGGACATCGAGGCTTGACCCCTTTGGTGCTGCATTGCTCTGGGGGTTTGGGCGTTGTGATCGAGGCTTGACCCCTTTGGGACATCGAGGCTTGACCCCTTTGGTGCTGCATTGCTCTGGGGGTTTGGGCGTTGCTGGACACATCGAGGCTTGACCCCTTTGGTGCTGCATTGCTCTGGGGGTTTGGGCGTTGTGAATGCTGGTTTGGGACATCGAGGCTTGACCCGCTTTGGTGCTGCATTGCTTTGGGTTTTGGGTGTTATGTCGACTGGTTTGGGACATCGAGGCTTGACCCCTTTGGTGCTGCATTGCTCTGGGGGTTTGGGCGTTGTGAATGCTGGTTTGGGACATCGAGGCTTGACCCGCTTTGGTGCTGCATTGCTTTGGGTTTTGGGTGTTATGTCGACTGGTTTGGGACATCGAGGCTTGACCCCTTTGGTGCTGCATTGCTCCGGGGGTTTGGGCGTTGTGAAGAGTGGTTTGGGACATCGAGGCTTGACCCCTTTGGTGCTGCATTGCTTTGGGTTTTCGGTGTTATGTCGACTGGTTTGGGACATCGAGGCTTGACCCCTTTGGTGCTGCATTGCTTGGGGGTTTGGGCGTTATGTGGGTTTAGGGCTTAGGGTTTCTGATTAGGCGTTAGGGTTTACGGCGTTAAAAAACTCATATGGGGGTTACGTAAAAGTAGGGGACCCGCATATAGACCCCAAATAATGATCAGGACCCCTATATTGTAAGGGTCTCCTAGTCTCGGAAACCCTTGTACTCGTACGATATACCTGAACAAAGTGTTCTGAGGGAGAGGCTGCACCTGTAGATTCCCAAATAAGAACGCATCAAGTCATGAACTGTGGGAGATTCATTCTGCCTCCGAATCAATGCCTGGCCTCTAGTCTGTACGTGCCAAAGCCCAGCAACCCAACATTTGTGGGCACCACCCGCGAACTGTGGACACAAGCTCGGCCAGCCCCGAGAAGTTACCGAACACAGAATGAGTTGGGCCCGAAAGTCAAGCAGGCCCCCAGTAGGAAGGGTCGCACCTTGACTTCTCCTAAAAGACGGCCGCCCCCCAGGCCTTGTATGACGCGTGGGCTGGCGACCACCTTGGGCAGGTACCCTTGCTTTTTGAGTCAGCTGCTTTCTGGAGCAGCCTTGTGTACTTGTATAGCAGGCACCATGCTAGTTTTCGTGGGTCTCCCTTCTTGCCTCCCCCTCTCCCGGAGGGTGGGGTCCGGGGTTCTTTCTGAGCTCTCCTGAAGTTCTCGAAGTTCTGGGTTTAGGGTTTAGGGTTTAGGGTTTAGGGTTTAGGGTTCAGGCTTTAGGGTCTAAGGTGGAATGCACACATGTGCGTTGAAGCACCTGGCAGGAGCTCGAGCTGAGCGTGTGCCGACTTTGCCGCCCAGAGAGCCAATGACAAGCTCAGTTGCACGAGCGGGGAGGGGCAGCTTCACTTCAGTGTCAACTACAGCATAGACAGTGCGTGTATAATCTCGGTCAAGGTGGTTGAGGATCGAAAAGCGCTTCTTGATCTTCTTGTCAATGTCCTGCCAAAGCAATAGGACTAGAACGATTCGCCGGTAGACCAAACAAAGGACTGCAACCACTTTTGCAGCTTGGGATCACGAGTATCAGCGCTAGGTGTGATGCCGCCGGGCTAAGATGCCAAGGTTCGAGTTGGGCTTGTAACACGTCGAGGTCAAAAGGCATGGTGGTCTCAGGGTAGGCGTTGCAATCGAATTCGAGCGTGGAGCTGCGCCGCCCTTGATAATGCAGACGCCTCAAGCAAAATGCGTCAAGCACCGCACCCGCAGCCCACCTCGCAGTTTGCAACTGTATGTTCGCGGCTAATGCATAAATGGTACATTCCGCTGTGTATCATACATTCAATGTTGTGTTTTACCCATTGTGTCGTAACATGTGTGCTACGCATATATATATATATATATACATATACATATACATATACATATACATATATATATATATATATTATACGCGAATAGTATAGTATATATATATATATATGTATATAAATGTATATATAAGATCACATACGTCAACCTCGACTTGTCATTCAGTTTACTGCGCCTCCAACCTGGCGCATGGAGACCTGTTGAGGGACCGCGGATGCTTTCAGCAATCTGGAATTCGGTAGCTTGTTTCCCTTCGCGACGAGGCACACCTGAGAGAAAGCCGAAGCGGTCGTTTTGTCACTTGTGTGCTTCAGACTTCTGCTGTGATCCAAGGAGTAATGTAAGCATTGCATGTTGAGACAAGTGAACAACATAAGTGAACTGGGTTTCAACCCCGTTCTTGACTGCGACGTGCTGGCCAGATTCGGGCTTCTCCAACCGCGCCATCCTCTAACGCCTGCTATTGCTGGCTGTTCCGTGCCGTTCGTTCGCTGTCAAAACCGAGTCTCCAGTCTCGTCGTAGTCACCTGATCCTGGAGCCTGCGGGCATTCGGGCTGGTGACTGTTTCAGACCGTGTGGTTCGTTCGCCGTAAAAAACAAGTCTCCAGTCTCGTCGTTGTCACGTGATAACCCGACTGCTAGACACCAGTGTAAGGATCCATTTAGTTCCACGACGCTCAGCCAAAATCGTTTGCCCCAAACCCCAAAATCCTGAACCCCAAACGCTGAACTTCAATCGACCCACTGCTCGATCTGGCATGCCGCAGCAATGTCTTGAATCGATCACAGGGCACCACAGCTTGCGCATGCGCGTACACACACGCACATATAATATACACACATATACATATATATATATACATATATATACACACACATGGCACCTAAGATGCAAACCCTGAACCCAAAGCACAGAACCCCGAACCCTAAACCCTAAAATCCCTCCTCACCTAAATCGTAAATTAAACCCGAGCACCTAAAACTTCTGGAGCCTCCGTTCAGCCCAAGATGGGCTGCTGCGAATCAGTACCGGAGGTAGGATTTAGGGTTTCGGGCTCTCACGGGCTTCACAGCTCCCCCCGACACCCTGAACCCTGAGCTCCCAAAGTCCTCAGACACGTCAGGCACTGCCCAACAGCCCCGAACATTTTTGAAACCTCCAGGCTAAACTTTGGAATGTAGCTTTGAAACTCCAGCAATTGACCTAAACCCTAAACCCTAGTCTTGGGCAGGTTTATGAACTTCAGGGTTTTGCAGCGCCTCTGTTCCGGGGGAGCTGTGACCACGTAAAGAAGAACCCGAGGAGCCCTTTGTACCCCCTCAATTGAGGAATATACCGTGTATTGCTTAAACCGCAAACCTTACATAAACCCTAGACCTAACTAGGACCCAAAGCAGGTCTTTAATCTTTCCCCCTGCCTTAAGGGCGTAGGCTCCCTTACAAGCCCCTTGAAGCCAAAAGGCACCATTTTGCTTCCCCTAAACCAAAAAACCCCAAACCCTTTCATTCCTAAGCTGCTCTTGGGTCTAAAGCTAAGGCTTAAAGTTGGGCGATGCCGACGACGTCTTCGGCCCCACCCCGCGGCATGCGGCGGACTGGGGCATTTAAATCATTTAAATGGGGGGTCCATTATTTAAATTATTTAATTCCCCGGCTCGTACGTAATGAAGTATTAGTATTGGGGGAGGCCCGGGCTCGTAATTTAGTATCGGGGGTGGTTCCGGGGAAGTAAATAATTTGAATAATTTAAATAATGTAAATAATTTAAATATTTTAAATGCTCCTCGGGGGGGGTCCGGGCCCCCTGCCTCCCGGGAAGTAAATAATTTAAATAATTTAAATACCTGGGGCATTTAAAATATTTAAATTATTTAAATAATTTAATTCAGGCCGGTGAGTTAAACACTTTCAATAATTTAAATAATTTAAATGCCCCAGGTATTTAAATTATTTAAATTATTTAATTCGGGCCGGGGAATTAAACAATTTGAATAATTTAAATGCCTCTCGGGGGGGGGGGGGTCCGGGCCCCTGCCTCCCGGGAGTTAATAATTTAAATAATTTAAATACCTGGGGCATTTAAGTTATTTAAATTATTTGAATTATTCAATTCCCCGGCCCGAATTAAATAGTTTAAATAAATGTAAATGCTCCAGGTATTTAAATTATTTAAATTGTTTAATTCCCGGGAGGCAGGGGGCCCGGACCTTTCTCTGGCGCATTTAAATTATTTATTATTTAAATTATTTAATTCCCCGGCACCACCCCCGATACTAAATTACGAGCCCAGGCCTCCCCCCAATACTAAATCACGAGCCCGGGCCTTCCCCCAATACTAAATTACGAGCCGAGGAATTAAATAATTTAAATAATGGACCACACATTTATATAATTTAAATGCACCAGGTATTTAAATTATTGAAATGATTTAATTCGGGCCGGTGAATTAAATAATTTAAATAATTTGAATAATTTAAATAATTTATTAAATTATTTAATTCCCCGGCCCGAATTAAATAATTAAACAATTTAATTCCTGGGCTCGTAATTTAGTATTGGGGGAAGGCCCGGGCTCGTAATTAAGTATTGGGGGGAGGCCCTGGCTCGTAATTTAATATAGGGGGGAGGCCCGGGCTCGTGATTTAGTATTGGGGGGAGGCCCGGACTCGTAATTTAGTATTGGGGGTGGTTCCGGGGAATTTAATTTAAACAATCTAAATATTTTAAATGCCCCAGGGGGGGGGGTCCGGGCCCCCTGCCTCCCGGGAATTAAATAGTTTAAACATTTTAAATACCTGGGCGTTTAAAAATTAGTTAAATTATTTAAATTATTTAATTCACCGGCCCGAATTAAATAATTTAAATATTTTAAATGCCCCAGCATTTAAATTATTTAAATTATTTAATTCCCGGGAGGCAGGGGTCCCGGATCCCCCCCGGGGGGCATTTAAATTATTCAAATTATTTAGATTATTTTAAATTATTCAAATTATTTAGATTATTTGAATTTTTTAAGTTATTTAAATTTAGATTATTTAAATTATTTAAATTATTTAAATTATTTAAATTATTTAAATTATTTAAATTATTTAAACTATATTTAAATTATTTAATTCCCCGGCCCGAATAAAATAATTTAAATAATTTAAATACCTGGGGCATTTAAATTATGTACATGGGGGGTCCATTATTTAGCTTATTTAATTCCTCGGCTCGTAATTTAGTATTGGGGGAAGGCCCGGGCTCGTAATTAAGTATTGGGGGGAGGCCCTGGCTCGTAATTTAGTATTGGGGGGAGGCCCGGGCTCGTAATTTAGTTTTGGGGGTGGTTCCGGGGAATTAAATAACTTAAATAATTAAGATAATTTAAATAATTTAAATAATTTTACATAATTTAAATGCCCCCGGGGGGGGGGGGGGGGGGGGGGGGGGCGGGCCCCCTGCCTCCCGGGAATTAAATAATTTAAATAATTTTAATACCTGGTGCATTTAAATTATTTAAATTATTTAAATTATTTAAGTTATTTAAATTATTTCAATAATTTTGGGGGGCCCGTTATTTAAATTATTTAAATATTTAATTCCCGGGAGGCAAGGGGCCCGGACCCCCTCCCTGGGGCATTTAAATTATTTAAATTATTTAAATTATTTAAATTATTTAAATTATTTAAATTATTTAGATTATTGAATTCTTGACCCTCCAGCCCCCCATAAACCCAAATAGGGTTTATTTGGAAGTTGGCTCTTGTAAATATGTATACGTTTTGGGATCTGTTTTCCTCTTGTAAACACGACTCTCAGCTTCCAAGTAAACCCTATTTAAGCCGCACCCCCCCCCCCCCCACCTCAATGAAGAAACCCTTCGCCCAATTTTTTTTTGAAGAGGTCGTGCTTCAAACAAAGCCCGAAGCAAGACTGCAGGGGCTGTAGGCTTAAGCCAGAGACTGCACGGACCTGGGGCCTTAAACCTGAGACTGCAGGCGTTGTAGCCTTAAGCCAGAGACTGCAAGCACTGTAGCCTTCAGCCAGAGACTGCTTGGATTCCGAGATGGGGCTGGAGTTTGAAACCAAGCATTTCCTTATTCAGTTCCATTTTAAGAAGAAAAAATCAATCCATCCCAGGGAGTAGTCCACGAGTGGGGTTCCCCCTCAATAATAAGCCCGGACTTTAAGCCAGGGTAAGGTTTAGGCGTAAGCCTCAAGGGCTGAACTCTAAACCTTAAACCTTAACCCTAAACCCTAATCAAGGCCTCAAGCCCTAAAGGCTGTAGCTCTAAGCCATAGGCAGAAGGAGAGGTTACAGGGTCCTATTGAAAACAAAAGGACAGGCCGACCCCCCCCGAACAGAGGGCCTGGGCGGGGGGGGGGGGGAGGGGGGAAAATCAATGGAGACGGGGGGGGGGAGGGGTAATTATTTAGAGGTTAACATTATGCGTTTTGCGTGAAGCCCACGCCCTACACCCAAACAGCCCCCAGCCCCCATCAGCAGCAGTGGGGGAAGAGCTGCGTTCCAGCGCTGCGCTATCTGATTTGGAATCGGCTTGTTCTCTGACTTCGTCTTTGTGAGTTTCTGACTCTGATCTTCTTAGTTTTCTCAATGGGTTTTCGTTTTCTCGAACTTACATTTTTTCATTAATTTCGGCTGGCGTTGGGTAGGGTCTAAAAGCATGAACCTGAGGTCGTGCAAGTGAACTGGTCGATTTGAATACAACTGCAGGAATGGATTTGGATTGTTATTTGCTGTGTATCTCAGCCCGCTTTCCAGCCACAAAAAACGCGTACGCATATGCCTTGGAATTGGGGTCAGCTTCAATTATGCTTCTTCACCGCTAGCAGAATGTGGACACCCCAAGCCCACAGTGCTTCAGTCATCCCAGTTTCTGGCTTGCAGATGCTGGCCGCTTATAAACCGTCCTTGGCAAAGGACGGTAAAGGCAGTGTATAAGGCTCTGGCCCTGTGATTTTGGGCAATGGCTTGGAGCTTAGACTGTGGCGCTAGCCGGGCGGCGGCGTGATTTCACCGTTTGATTTTAGGGTTTATAAGGCCCGTAGTGTGATGTGGGTTCTTATTTAGGCCCTCAGCTCACCTTGCACTCGAGTCACGCTCTTCAGTTGCCCATGCGCCCTGACCCTAGGCCGAAGCAGCAGAGGCTGTCCTCTGGATGTCCCATTTGATTGGGGTCACGAAGGCAGGTTACATACAATGTCTCGGATGCTTCTTTTTTTGTTGCCAATAGTGCGACATTTCGAGGACAACTTGGCCACTTGAACCCCAGACTCTACTGCGGCCGTGCCTTCTGATTTGACAAGGCCACGGACAAAGGATCTTCCGCGATCATGGCTTTGGGTCCGAAAGCTTCTCGCGTTCTGTTTTGGGGAATAAATTCAGGATGGAACGTTGTTTTCTGAACGCGAGGTTCTGGAGGCCCTTCCACTTCCTTTCACTTCCTCTTGCTTTTCCTGGTGAACCACGAGCAGGCCTATCAAATCCCCAAGCCCAATTAAGCCCTCCCGCATCTCTCCAGGACCTCCCACACCTCCACCTCTCCCGTGCCTCTCCTCCTTCGCGCGCCTCGCCCGAGCTCGTGGAAAATTACACCCAGCCGGATAGTTGTTAAAGTACGGAGCCTGCAATGTCATTGGACTGAGAGACTGAGAGCCTGGCAGGTCCGAAGGTCCGAAAGGCCGCGTGCGCCCTACCATGGTGCCGGCCGTCCACACACTTCCAGCGAGCGGGATTGCGTTTCGGTGTCAGGAAGAAGTCTTGGCGAGCAGTTTCAACCCAATCTGATCGAGCTTCGGCCTGAAGCTTTGGAGCTGGATGCGAGGACAAAGGGGTTTCATATTGAGGGTTTACGGCCGCCAAGGCGTGCAATTTTGTGTTTGGAGCTCAGGCCCAGGTTGCAGAGAGTTTCCTGATTCAGGGGATAGACATCTCAGACATCACTGCCATGAACTTCTGGAAGCCCAAGCAGGCATCAACACTGACAAGTGCAGTTTGGGTGCCTCAGGTGCCTCTGTCGTTTTCCCAACAGCCTATGCTTTGATTTCGCAACGGCCTAAATCCCACATCCCCGCTGCGTCATCAACCTGAATCGCCGCGAAGCAACAGACTCTAAGCGCCAACACCTTTGTGAACTCAGAGCCGTGCCCCACACACCCGGGACAAGGACAAGGAATGCCAGCAGAACTTACTGTGTCATAAGCTTGCCAAGCCAAGGCCTCAGGCTTAGGGCTTGCGGATTGGGTAGGCACGGCCGAAAGTGAGGACGCGCGCCCTGCGCTGCCCTGAGTTGTCCTAAAACCCAAACCCGCCAAACGACTAACCCTCAATGCTTCGAGCAGCAAGTGGTAACGCCTTGTTCAAGGCATTTCAAGCCCCACCAAGGCTGCTGCGCGGTGACATTTCTCCGCTTGACCAAAAGGACTGCTCAACCCCTCAAAGGCTTTGCCAACGCAGCTGCCTCCTGCACGATGCAACTACATCAGATCTGACCACAAAATTCATGAAGTTGTCTAATGGCCAACCAGACTTGATTCTGGTTCGTGTGTGCGCAGCGGCTTGCTTCGGAGACTCGAGAGACTCGAGATGAATCGTGACACATCCTCGACTTACAAAATATCGTTTCCATGTGGGTTTCGGGGACGAAGAGTTGCCACCCCCAGCTCTTTCGAAGAATCGACCAGCAGTTTAGGCGGCTGATAAAATTAGGAAGCCATTACTAGGTTTCAGCATTTGCTGAACCCATCGTCCAATTGTCAAACGAAGAACCAGGCAGAGACCTTGTGGCGGCGCGTGTCTCCATTCAAACCCTTCTGCAGTGTGGGCAGTATAGCTCAAACTTGTTTTGCATAGCTTGACAGTCAGCGCTTGTGATTTCTGGCTCCAGATCATCAACCCATGCTGCGGTGAAACCTCCAATTGTCTTTGAAACCTCCATTTCTCATGACAGTGGCTTTATAAACCTGCCGCGCCTCAAGCAAAATGCAGGACAGGCCGACCCGAAGTAAAACTGGAAAGCCGCAGACTCCGCAGCATAGGCCCCCTAACTCCTACACGAATGCCATAGCCAAGGAGGGAGACACACTTCTCTCGATGCTGCGCGGCCCACAGCGCACGCAGAGCGTGGCCGCCGGCTACGCGGTCGCTCCGATGCTCAGCTAGACTTAAACTCTGGGCTCTAAGGCAACCAGCAACGAATCCAAACTCTAAAGCAGCCAACAGTGAATCCCTCTAACCCCTAAACCCCAAGCTCTAAAGCAGCCAACAGTGAATCCCTTTAAGCCGTAAACCCGAAATACAAAGCAACCAGCAAGGAACCTCTATAAGCCCTAAGACCTGACTGAGCTTTAACGCAGCAAAGAATCCTGAGCTACACAGCAACCAAAAAAGAATCCTTACAAGCCCTAAACCCTGAGCTCTATCTAGAACGACCAACCCAGGGATGCCAACCCAGCTCTGCACCGGGGTCTTCCACCTCCCCTACTTCAGGCCTGGTGGGGTGCGGCCTGTGACCCAAACCTCTACCGCGACAGCAAGCCTGAAGTTTAGATCAGGGTTTAGGTTTAGGGTGGCGTTTTAGGGTTTAGGGGTTAGAGTTTCGCGCGTAGTAGCCTCAAGCTCACAGTGATTATCCCAAAGCCTTACGGAACACCAACACTTCCCAAGCCGACGCCCCAAAGCCCTGGGTGAAGGAGCTGAGGCTGCGGGGAGTGCCAGAGGTGCTCGGGGGCGTGGGGACTTGGGGGTTTCGGGTTGGCTTTGAAGGTTTAGGTCTTGGGGCGAAAGGGCTTGTCCTAGGAATTTTGCAGTTCAGGATTTTGTTGTGTTTGGAAGCTCCAGGGCAGACAGTCTTCCGATATTGATTGTTAACGCGTTCTTCACGGAACATCGGACCATACGGTCCGATGTGCCTTCCTCCAGGAGGACCAGCTTCTCAGCCTTTGCTGAAGTGGTTCTTTGCCTCATCATGGTTTTGGCTAGGAAGCCCAGTGAAACTGCTTCATTTGGGTGGGTTCTGTAAAACTTGTTTTCATCAGGTGCCGAAACAATAGCCTCACCCGCAGGCTCAAAGTAAGCCCAGCACCTTGATCTTAGGACCCCAAAAAACCTAACAGTCCTTGGAGCCTTCAGGGTTGTCATTTTGCACCCACTTTTCGAGGAAGTTGGTGTCCTAGACTGATTAGAGGCTCACGGTTTAGGGCGGCTCTCTGCAGGCCACGCCCCCAAAGCCAGAGCTACATACCCAAAGACACAGTCGAGAGAGAGACACTTTCGAACCCCACGGCGTTGGCAAGCAGCAGTGTGGCGCGAGGCTTCTGCTGCTGCTTCTTCGTCGGCGCAAGAGGCCAAAGAGGCCAGCCCCTCGCGAAGCATGAGACATGTTGTGCACGGAGGGCATGTCGGATCTATAAAGCTTCACCTAAGCCCATTACGATGCGTAATACCCAACCTCGACCCAATCCTCGACTTCTGCGAGGAAAATTTTTCTACACGTTTATGTATGATAATGTTCGTAGACATAATAAGGAAACACATAAATTCATACATTTTTGTGTGCGTATATGTATCTATGCACATATTTTGGCGGAAGTGCCTGGGCTGGCGACACGCCCGCTTTCACAGCGGGTGCCAGAACAACCGGTCACACTCTCATCCTCGGCCTATTGCCAAGCCTTGGCCCCAAAACAGGTGGCAAGAATAGGGCCACGAGCCAACACATGTCAACACGTACGCAGGACACAAGGTCCCGAAACGCCCAAATCCAACACCCAAGCCGAAGTTCTCAATATAGGCAGGTTCAGGGTGGGAGGTTGCTGTGAACATTGAAGAGACAAAGTCAACAAGAAGCCTGGCACAACGGCGGCTCCGGGGTCAGAGGCCGCGCAGGCTCTTTCGGGTTCTATAGTTTCGGGATGTTTGGGGCCTGAATAAGGTGTGACTCCTTGCGGGGTCATCTTCAGAATCCACCGGAAGGTTTCTGCACGAGAATTTTCGAGCAAGACAACACAAGCCCGCCCGAAGACAGCCATTTGCGGTGGCGAAACATCGTTGGGGTCCAATTCACGGAAGAGATCTTTGCTTGAGGGCGGTAGTGTTTAGTGGGCTGAATTGAACCTTTGAAAATAGTGCCTGTTTATTTCTTAAACTCCTGCATTGGCCCCGGTGATTTTCAGTATTGGGTCCATCAACTGCGCATGCTGGTGTGCCCATTCTGCCAGAGTCTCAAGCCAAACTCCCCTCCTCTACTCCCAACTGTCTAGGTGCACGCCGAGAGCAATCTGTGGAGGGGGGTGGTTCATATCTGTGGGGGGAAGCGATGAATTGACCCCATCAGGCTTCTTGAAAATTGAACCCTAAGCCCCGCACCCTAAACCCTGCAAGGCAGCCAATGCGTCGGATGCTAGCAAGCCGCTTCTTGGCTTCCAAGATACCGTAGAGGTGTTTGGTATTCGGGTTTCTGTGGAGATCTTGGGCACTTCGTAGACCAGGATCTTGTAGGATTTCTGAGAACCTGTCGGTGCTGCGGAACCGGAGAACTTCAAAGACCAGAAGCCACAACGCGTCTGACGTGTGTTTGGCTCATTGTCCATGTCAGAAGCCCCTCTCAGGACTGAAAAGGCGCCGGAGCAGGAGGGTGTCAACACCGAATCGGATGAGGGCAAAGAGGAGAAGGAGGCGAAGGACACGGAGGAGCAAGCGGTGAGCCGAGCCGTGGAAGTGGATCAGGATCAGGAAGGAGACTTAGTAGCTGAGTGAGTACGAGCGCCCTTGCCGGACGACCACCTGCCACCTTGCAGCTTCCCCTGTAGAATAGCTTGGTAGCTTGGTAGTAGTATCGTCTGGGTTTTGGGGTACTACACTTTAATACTATTGCCTGTTTCCGGGTTTTTATTACACTTATTTAATTTGTGTGTTGTGGAATCGGGCGTAGCAAGGCTTCGGCAGAGTGAACAGCACAACCCCGCGCACACAGACAAAAAGCACTGCAATGAAATGAAGGCGAAATCAATGGAAGAAATTCCAGAATTCTGATAATGAAAATAAATACGATATGAATCTAATAAACTCCCGGCGGTATCATTATAATGAAATGAAGATGGAGGGAATGGGGGAAATTCAGATTTAAATGGTAATGTGTTAAATTGCCGGCGATATTTTTATAATGAAATATAGATGACATAAATTTGAAAAAAACACAATGAAAATAGAAAATGATGGAATCATTTCATGGAAACTATGAGGATATTCATAGACGGCATTATTTTATTTCGGAATTTTGATTAATTATTTCTAGGTATAAAATCTTTTCAATATATTGATTTTTTAATATTTATTTTGTTTGATGAGGAATATTAAAATTATATATATATATATATTCTATTATGATGGCAAAGGAAAATTATCTTCGACCATAGATGATAACATAAATTTCTTGCACTGGCTTGATTGACTAGCGTTTACGAAATGAGTAGAGAAAAAATGATTTGATGATGGGAGATGTCACAATGAATATTGGTTATGATCTGATTATTTTCGAATGTCTGATATATTGGATCTTACATTATGGAGGGTCTTTCGATCTTTCTTAATTGGATCGGGACCAGGACCTGATTAATTGAGGTCGAATTTCGGAGAATCGAAAGAGGAGGATTGAAATTATATATTAGAAAAATTCTGATTTTCTTTTGCAGAAGTAATCTTAGTGCGAGGGACTTCTACCCCCCCAAAGCACCATTTAAAAGGAGACTTATGCTCCCAAGATGAAACAAGAATATCCATCCCCTTCCCGAAAGAGAAACGAGAGCAACTAACCAAAAATTTCGTGCTCTCCAAGACACCTCGACGTGCACAAAAGCCCGCCGCCACCCCCAATTAGAGAGGCGCCCCAGAAAGACGAAAAGCAAAAGAAGATAACGAAAATACCAACAGGTGAGATGTGAAACCCAATCTCATAGGAAGGTTGCTCTCAAGCAGCTCAGAAGTTCTAGTCGTGTAAGCAAGCCAGCCTGCGCTAAGGGGTCTCCTGTAGAACATCAACATGACGTCAATGGCGTCCTATACTGAAGGGAATCTTGTTCAAAGATTAATGTTTTCAATCAAAAATGGATATCAGGAATGAAATACTCGGACTCGAGGGGTAGTTTTGGCTCGCCTTCGCGACGACGTTGGATGCATCTATGCAAGTGCCGTTGCAGTGCAAATGAAATACGTTCACGTAGCCGAAGTTTTGTGGTCCCTAGAGGCCGTTCTAATGGCCCATCTACGGCACGGCAGAGAGAATCCATAAATTGAGTCCCTTCGATATTCAGACCTCCCGCATAATCGAAGACAATTGGTTCAAAACCGATTCCCTGCTCGTTACAGCGGCTCAAAGTGGCTCGATCCTGGCGCTTGTGTTGGGCATGTTGTTCTGCTGCCTTCTGCGAGTCGACCCTTTGCCGGAAAGGTGATACCACTGCAAAATCCATGGCGATTCGACCGAAATGCTTCCAAGCAGATTGTCTACATAATGGAGTTGGTACCGTCAGAATGTCCGCCGGTCTACGTGCAGGATCCTCCGGCAACAAGTGAGTTGGCTCTCTTCGGACTCCCGATCCTCCACCCCATAAGGCTCGAAAGACTTCATCCCGGATGAGATTATGAAGAGTGGTTTTTCCTACCATATTATTACAACTCTAGCAATGATGACGGAAGGTATCACTACTTTGGGGACACATTCGACATTCCTCATCAACATCAAATATTGACAAGCCAAGTCGCATAGAAAAGACATCATGAAATGCAACATTGGGCAAGTGTGTATCAAATGCTTGACTGGGAATAGCTCGAATCCACCCATCGGCCCAAGCTCCCGAATAACTCTCAACTCTCGACCGATCCCGTTCACCGAGTTGTCGTAGGAAGTCGCTATGGGCAACCGCAACGGCTTCCTTGAGCAAATCCTTTTGTCGAAGCTTACTGGTGTCATCTCTCAAGCAAGGACCCCATGCTGGAAATAGCGACTCCAGACGTTGTATAGCCGGCGCCAATCCCAAGATAGAATGGTCTCCTGGACGTGAGATCAAAGCCTCACAGAGGTTGCGTGTACAACGAATAGCTGCTACATAGGAGATATCAGCTCTGGAACAAAAGTCCTGTCCGACTGCGAACTTGTCCGCCACCAACCCTAGCCCGCCCCGGTCAGGAGGGAAACCAACTTGACGCCATGTTTGTTCGGAAAGTGGTTGATCCACGAGAACTTCGATAGCCTGTTTGAACCGATCCTCGTACCAATCGAACAACGGAGTTAAAAACGTACGTGGGGCGGTACGTGCCAAGAATTGAAGCTGACAATATCCACAACATTGTTGCATCAAGTGAAACGCCACATGCTTACATTCCAAACTTTCCAAATCTCGGAATATCTGTTCATACTGCGAACGCCGCACTTCGCAGAATTCATGCATGAACTCCTGCTGTCCGTAGACGGGCGTTTTCAACATTTGAATATCAGCTCCCGCAACTATCTGCACCCCCAACGCCTGGAAGGCCGAGACATCCCCCCGGAATCCCTCCCCCTCCAAGAGATATGGCTTACATTGGGAGAAATCGTAACTCACCCCAAATTTCCGGGCTAATTGAACTTCAGCCTGGACGTGTTTCAAGACCTCTGAACCCGACTTCCACTGAATCCATCGTCCGCGTATTCAGGCCGAAAGGGGGGAACAACACCACATAGGGCGGCAGCTTCCTCAGCATGTCTCTTACGGGTCAAACAGAAAAGAACCATCATCATTGGGCATCCTTGTTGTCCCCGACTACTCCTATAGACGGTCCCATCATACACGAGATTCGACTCGGAGGCATTACAATATTCCGCGAGGCGGGCCGAAGCCGGAGCGAAGCGGCGGCAATCATATAAGAATTCTTCCGACAACACCGTGTTAAAGGCGTTCTTCACATCTTTTTGAAGAAGAACCATATCTTCCTCTTGCCTATGAATCGCGATCCATTGTCGTGCCGCATGAATCAAACCCTCCGCGCCGCCCGCGACCGCCACAACAAGCTGATGGGGCAACAAGCGCTCACGAATCTCCGTAGAATCATGATTAAAGGGTACACTTGAAGGCAAGTTTATGGAACACCTGCCCCATAACAATGGGGCGCGCATCCCGATCAGAGGGATCGGATGCCCATTTTTGTCCATCTTTCCAACACCAACCAAGGTACCCCCTGCCAAAGGCTGAAGAGCATCAGAAACATCGGCGTCAGCCAACATTTGGATGAAGAGCTTCAAAACACCGAGCCCCTCCGAATCAACCGAGTGTCCGACAACTCCCTTCAAGAAGTCAGCACGCAGACCATCTGGGCCTGGACCGGACCCAACTGGGAACGAATGAAGGGCTTTCAGCAGGGTTGGGAGGGGAATATCAGGAGTCGGCGCAAGCGCGGTGCGCACTAACGGGCTTGAGGGATTCGAGGGGAATTTAGCAAGCAATTTGTGACGAACGTGTTCATTGTTCTCCGCAAGTCTGGGCGAGACTAGGCGCTTAATAGCTTGCCCTGGGCGATCCAAAGCCACCAAGCGACGAACCTCTGCCTCGGTCCGCTCTTGCGACCCGAGACCTCTCCGCTTAGCCGAACGTGATTGCGAGACCATGACAGCTTCATCCCATAGTCCCCGCCGTTCGCCAAGACTCCACCGCGCGATAAGTGCCTTCGTGAAAGCAAGAGCTTGAGCTTGGCCTCGCCTCTGCCCTCTTTTGTTTTGACGGAGAACACTTTTCGGGAACATCAAAAGTTCCAACCATGCTCGGCGAGCCCGCTGTTTGGAAGGACAATCCTCGCCAACCTCCAGACCTCCTACCGACTTAGGGAAAGGATCCCACGCGTCCCTGCGGTCAGCAACGACTACCTCGCAAACGAGCTTCAGATACTCAATGCGCACAACGGGCCAAAGCTCGGCGGCCAAATGATCCTTAGTGAAAATGGGAGTGGTGAAAATTTCTTGAAGCGATGGTAAATCAGTAGGAACGAACGATTCTGCCCAAATTCATCAGCACCTCTACGAGTTTGGGGCCAACAACTGGGATGAATGCCGGAGGCATTGCGAGAACTAATTGTCTTGCCACATACCTTACAACAAGTGAGTGCATGTTCACGCAGCCACTTCATCAGGCCGGCCCTGCAGCTCCCCCAAACAGTGCAGGTCAACGTGAGCTCGCAGAGCTTCCCTAGACGTCCAAGCCGGTCCCCTTCCTCGACTATGAGCGTATCTTGAAACAGGACAGTACCATTCCTGCGATGCCCCAGGGTCCCGGCAGATTCCGCCGTCATCCCTCTCCCCAATACTTCGGATATCACCGATACTACATCCGAAATGCAGAAATGAGTAGGGTTTCTCGAAGGGATTTGATTAGATTGATTTTTTTCATAATTTCAAAAAGGAGGCCAGGAAAAGATGACCTTGTATGGTTGATATCGCGTTTATGTTTCGGTGAGTCGATAAATATTATCTTCCAAATAAAGGAGTGGTATGGTCTTCTGGATGAACCTCCTTTATTCTCTTTTCTGATGATATTCCTCGTGTTCTCGTAATTCGGATTGATGGGGGATGGATCTTTTCCCTCGAGATTATATTGGGATCTTATTTATAAGGAATCTATTTTAATCTATCTGATATCTCCGAGACATAAATCCTCTGGAACGACGATATTTCTTTTTGGATTCTTTGAAGATTATTAGTTGATATGTTTGGGTGAAGAAGTCGCCTGATT